GCACTGTCAGCAAGAGCTTGGCGCTTCCTCCGGGGCGCGGTGCGGGGAGGGGCGCTGAGTCCGGAGTTAGATGCAGCTCAGATGCGGTAAGGGAGCCGGGCAGGCACCGCGCCACTGACCTGCGTGCCACCCCGTCCCTCAGCCAAGTACATGAGCAGCTGCCCCAAGTCCCAGGTGTACACCTACGTGGTGGACCGCTGCCAGCCCACCTGCCGCGGACTGAGCCAGGCCGATGTCACCTGTGCTGTCACCTTCGTGCCCGTGGATGGCTGCACCTGCCCCCATGGCACTTTCATGGATGACGCTGGCACCTGCGTGTCCGCGGAGGCCTGTCCCTGCTACTTCCGCGGCTCGGTGGTGGCCCCTGGGGAGGTGCTGCATGACAACGGCATGGTGTGGTAAGGGCCGGCTGGGTGAGCCCCTGGCTGTGTATGTCCCTCGCCCGGATGAGCAGGGGTCACCGCCCTCCTGTGCCTCCCTAGAGGATCCTGAAACACAAAGCGGCCTCCTGGGGGGAAGTCCCCCACCACCCCTCAGCCCCTCTGTAAAGAGGGACCCCTCCGTGGGCCCCCGAGGGGGTTCTGAGGGTCAGGCCCACAGTGGGTGCCACGGTGGGGGACGCTGCTCCTGGGGTCAGCCCCGCCCTCTGCGTGTGTCCTCGAGCGCTTTCGCGGGGTCGGGGGCCTTTGCTGTGAACCCCCAAGCAGGCACCGTCCTCACCTCGAGACCAGGCCTGGGGGCCCATGTGCCCGCCCAGCTGGGACCCAGGCGGGTCTGCGGGGCAGCGGGCAACTGCCAGACCAGCTGTCCATCTCTCGCAGCTCATGCGTGAGCGGGAAGCTGAACTGCTTGGGTGCCACCGAACAGACGAGCTCAGGTACTGCGGCCCATCCATCCACCCTGCCAGCCAGCCGCCCGTGGCCCCCACGCGGGGCGGGGGTGGGAAGGGCCTCTGCCGGCCGGAAGCCAGGAGGAAAGACCTTGCTTAAGTTATAACTGCTGATCATTAAGCATTAGCAAGAAGTATACCTAAGTATTTTATTTATTTATTTGTGTACATAAATATTTTTTAAAAGAATTTTCTATTTGATTCTTTTAAACTATAATGTTCATATGAAGTTTAAAATAAGTTCTAGTTTTGATAAGAGAAATCCTAATTTTCTCTGGTGAAACCCATCTATGATGCAAATTTATTTTTTGGACCACATGCTCATGCCAGAAGCCCTGACCAGCACTTGGTGGCAGCATACCCAAGTATAGGTTTTGTCCTAATCATTAGTA